GGGCCCAAGTGGCCCCATCAGGCCCGGTCTCCCTGGCTGACTCCATCAACTCTGCAGTCCCAGTGCGGGGGCCAATTTCAGCTACCGGGCCTCCTCCCTGAGGGCCAGTCCTTGCTACACTCCACCACCGGCACCCCACATCACCAAATCCTGGGCTCCCTCCTCTCTAGGTCCCACCCTCTGAGCAATCCTGGCCTCACTCCACTGCTGGTGGCCTGCCTCCAACCACTAGGGCCTATGACCTGGCCATGCCCCCTCACACACATTAAAGGGCTAGAGACCAGCAAAAATGCTTCCCTGGAGGCAGAAAAAAGTGTCCTTCTGGCAGGACTAGTGGGGAGTCTCACAGGGATCACCCCAGTAGGGAAGCGTCGATATTCTCACGTGTTGTGTTGGCTCTCAGCCTCACCTTCCCACTCATCTTCCTATTGTTACGGAACCAGGTTCACTTTTGCCCATCTCCCAGAAAGCCACACACCAAGAGAAGGAGATTGCAGCAGAGAAAGGGTTTTAATCACAAGGTAGCCAAGTGAAGAAACGGAAGAAGAGCCTTAAATCCACCTCACCAAAAATGAGGACTCAGGGATATTTATGGGGTATGGGGCAAGGTGGTCTGAAATGTGAAAATGGATGATTGCAGGTGAGGAGAGGTGAGGTAATTGATGATCTGTACAAGCGTAGTCAAATCGTGCCTCTTCCTATGACACATGTTCACAAAATGGTGGCATTAACGTGATCTGAGGGTGGAGTTTTTAGCCTCTTGACGTCAAAAGGTCATTTGTCGGGCATCTGTGCAGCCACGGATGGGTTGGTGGTCTAAACTGGCCAGATGTGGACAAAGGGTTCTAATTCCTGAAAAACAGCTCAAACACTCATTACCATGGTGACCCCAGCACTGGGGAGATGTTATCTGTATGAACCTTGTGGGAGTCAGATAGCATATTGCCTAAGCAGCACAGATAACAATGGGCTGGTGAAAAACTAAAAGCTATAATCAGTAATTGCGAAAAAGAAAAAACAATGTTTAGTTACTGGCTACTTAATCATCAATGACTAACTGTTTACCCGTTTCACCGCAAAGGGATTTTGTGGAACAAGTCCCTGCCTGCCCGCTGCAGGCAGAGAGCAGGGGCGCCAATGGGCCCCTACTTGTGGGCAGTGGTGGGGCGCTGGAGGCTGGGAGGGCTAGGTCCTGGAGCGATTCAAAGCCAGGGCAGGACAGAAGCACTGGAGGCAGGGCTCTGCCTGCAAGCCCTGGGAGGAGGAAACCCGCCTTCTCCCTGCACTTTGTTTCCTAGTTCTGCTACTGCTCTTTCTCTGGATTCTTTTCCACACCCTCTCCCCCGATCAAGAATGGAAGGGAAGGGGAGAATGGTCAGCGCCTGCGCACTAATCCCAAGCCGCAGGTCCGATGCACGAAGTACCGGTGGTAGAGGGAGGGGCGCATGCCTGGGAAAAGGCGGGAGACAAGAGCAGGCTCCAGGCTCGCGCATGCGCATACAGTCAACTGCGGCTCAGGTGCCTGAGGGGAAGTGGCTTGGTCTCTGGCAGCGCTGTGGAGACGACGTGCCTTGAGTCTGGGTTCTGGAGGCCTGAAGAAACAGCTCTTCATCGGCAGCGCCGGAAAAAGCAGACCTGGGACCCTCTTTCCCTCCCGACCCCCACCCCCGCCCTCCCAAAGCTGGCGAGCAGCCCTGAGAGACTCCCGTTCCGACTTCTCCTCCGCCCTCAGAGACGCAGCCCTTCCGGGAGGACAGGCCTCGGCGAGAGCAGCATGGCGGCCTGCGCACTCGCCGGACTGGGCTGCCCTGTTTGCCCTCAGGCCGCTTCAACGAGGGACCCCTCTGTCCGCGGATGGAACTTGCGCGCCTGCCTTCTGCATGGCGGGCTTCTGAGCCCAGGGAAGGAGGGTCGGGGCCTGAGCGGGGGCTGAGCCTGCACCGCCGGGCCCCTGCCCGCTTCGGAGGAGGGGAGGGAGAGCTGGCGGCTGCCGAGTCCTGGCCCGTCCCCACCTCCGCTGCCCCCCTCCGCTGCCCCCTCCATCCAGCCCCGACCTTGCCCGGACTTTGGCGGACCCCACAGCCCCTCTCGCAGGCTCCCTTCCTGAGAACAGCCCCAAGGCCATGAGGCCTGGCTGGCCTGCGACTCCCCTGGGGGGCAGCCTGGCCGGGGAGCAGTGTCTTCCTGGGAGCTCAGGATCCTAAGTCAGGACGGAACCCCCGAGGGTAAGGGTCCGCGTCAGCCTGTGTCGTCAGTGCCTGTGGCGGTGTCTGCACAGGGCTGTGCTGGGTGGTTTGGGGACGGATGGGTGGATACTGGCAGGAGGGCAGCTTCCCTGGTTTCCTGGCCCCCAGCCCGGAGCCCTTGCCCACTTCTGTGTGATTGCCCCCCAATCCTCCGTGGGGGGCAGCCTGGTGCAGGGGAAGAAGTCCCACCCTGGCTTGGATCCTGGCTGGGCCGCTTCCTCACTGCCTGGCCTCAGGCACAGCGTTCTCTTCTCTAGGCCTCAGCTTCCTCATCCATCACTGGGGCTGCACCCGGGCTAACTGACATACCGGTGGTCCTTAGTACCCCTGACTGAATGAATGACTGTCCTGGGAGGCTCCCTGTCCCCCAGGCTCACACTCACTCGTGTGTCGGTAGTGTCTGTGCTTCTTGCTGGGGCTGTTCTTCCCAGGTGCTGATGTCCCACCACATCTTGATATCACTCCATAACCAGACTTCCCCTTGAAGGCGAGCTTCATTTACTGGGCCACTGTACTGTCCCACCCTCATGGATGGCGAATCGGTCCCTAAAAGAGACCCCTAATCTGATTCTGAGTCCGGATCTGTGACCCACTCAAAGCGTGTCTTCCACCCTGAGGCTGGTCGCTGTGAGGACAGTTGGTGCAGTTCTGATAGAAATCCCCACTCTGTCAAAGATCCCTGCTGGGATTTGTTTTGGCTCCCTGCACTGGAGCTGTTGGCTGGGCTGTAGGGTCTGACGCTCCTGGTGTCTCTTGGGACATAGATCCAATCTGGGCAGGTGGTCCATTTTGGGGTCCATGTCTAGGCTAGGCTGAAGGTGTTGATCAAGCTTCTTGCTGAGCTACAGATGGCTCTCCTGGGCCAGATCCTGTCTGGGCTGCACATCCCTCTCTCAAGTGTGGTTCCTGTTGACTTCTAGATTCTGTTCCTGGCCCAGGTCTCCGCTGCAAGGCAGCTTTCTGTTGAATGAAGGGCACCCTTTGGGTGGGAGGTGATTGCTGTGGTGGAGGCTCCTGTGGAGCAAGAAATTCCTGCTGCAAAGCAGATTTTTGTTGGGTTCTAGGTTCCTGCTGGGATTCGCTTCATGTTCAACAAGGGGCTCCTGCTGAGTGAAGGGCATTTGCTGTGAAGCAGGCTCCTGTTGGGTGTTGGGTCCCTGCTAAGTCTTAGATGCTGGCTGGGCTGTGGATGCCTTTTCTGGCCCAGGCTCTGGCTGGGTGATTGGTGTCTAATGTGGCTCAAGTTCCCCTGCAAGCCTAGATTCGGACTTAGAACCTGGCTCCACTGTTGTTATCTCCCTCACAGGAGATGTTGATCTCTCAGGCTTCATTCTGCTGCCCCTCCTCCTTCATGCCTCCCTTGTCTCAGATGCCTCATTGATTCCTCATGATGGCATCTCCCTTTGGGTTCCACTCCTTCATCCTGACATCCCTGGTCTTCCTTTTGAAGGCACTTGGCAAGTGGGCCGACCACTGCTGGCCCCCACTCCTGTGCCAAGTGATGCACTTCTGTGCCTCCTGCTGTGGGAGGAGGGATTAGGAACAGGAGGCTGTGTGCCCAGCACTGTCCTACCAGAGGGGAGGGGCTTGTTTTCTTGTGTCATAAATAGGGCCCCACCCCACTCACCACTCAGTTAAAATGTTTTTTCTCCTAAGGCAAGCATCCTAACTTAGTCCTCTGTTTCATCTGGGATGACAGAAGCCAGATTCTGGATGAGCGTTCCTTTTTTTTGTCCCTTTCTGATATTTGAGGAAAGGGCCCAATAGAGAAGCAGTCTCTATACTATTGTAGTAAACTTTTCTTCTTTACTCATTCTTTCAAATGGTTACCAGTTTAATTTCCTTATATTATTGCTTTTATCATTTCACTGTTATGTTAAAAAAAATACTGTCTTCCCATTTTTACAGCTTGAAGCGCTTTTAAGTGTCATTTGAGATCTTAACACAGCATCTCTCTAGTCTTGATGTGGTTCTGCATATATGTCATCTGTACTACATTGGAAGTTCACAGAGTACAATGACCAGTAATGATGATGATGGTGACAATAACAAAGACTAAAGGCATTGTACATGCTAGGAAATTGTGCCAGGTTGTTTTTTAAACCTGTGTTTTCTTTTCTTTTTGCTGATGAAGATTAGCCCTGACCTAACATCTTTTGCCAATATTCCTCCTTTCTTGCTTGAGGGAGATTAGCTCTGAGCTAACATTTGTGCTAGTCTTCCTCCATTTTATATAAGAGCATGTCTGAATCATTGCTATACCTACTTTCATTGCCCCACCTAGCTCTTACCCCGGAAAGTTTTGTTGAATGAGTAAAAGAGTGAAAAGTTGGGCAGTGGAGGGAAAGAGTGAGAGTGGTGGTGGGAAGAAGTGGGTGTAGAATCTGGGTGGGGTTTGGAGTGAACAGTGGATCATCTGGATTGAATGTGAGTTGCCAGACCCCATTTGAAAGAAATGAGTTTAACCTATTACATTTAAAAATATTTATTGACCTCTGTGTGCTACTTGCCTGGTTGGTGGGACCAGCTAGGAAACTGGGGTTTCCTGGGGTTTTTTTTCAGGTAATTAAGCTTAAGCCTGGGTAAAGGGAGGGCATGGGAAAAGACTGAGGAGAGCAGAAGGCACTAGAGGGAGCAATAACCTTGGGAAAATGCTTTCTGAGGCCACTGGAGTGGAGACAGGGAGGGGGAGCTTGAGGTGGGAAACGAGCATCCTCCAGGTGCACTCACTGTCCCTTGACTGAGAGTGTTTCGTTGGGAGAGTGGGCTCTCAGAGCTCCTACAAAGGCAGAGCAAGGCTTGCTAGCTGACACTGTTTGAGAAATTGCTGGCAGGCTCTGGAGTGCTTGTTTGGCTCCCTGTGGTGCCCTCGGTGCCCTAGGGTGAAAATAAAGGGGAGAGACGTGTTAAAAACATTTTAAGAATTTAACTTTTATGAGAGCTTTTAAAATTTTAGCAGTAATACTTGTGCCATGGAAAAAATTAAAATAAAAAATATATCCAGTAAAAAGTGAAAGGATGATCCCTTACTCCAACCTCCACTCTCCATTCTCTAGAGTTAACTACTATTAATATTTTACTCCATAGTCTTCCATATCTTTTATATGTAAATGTAATGGTTTACTTTAAAAAGCAAAAATGAGATTATACTATACATACTGCTTTGCTCTGCACCTTTAACAAATCTTTTATTATTGCAAAAATGATACATCTATAGAGGTCCATAAAAACTCATATATGCAGTTCAATAAATAGTTATGAGACAGATATTCATGAAACTGGTACCCAGGCCTGGAAATAGAATATTGCCTCCTTTTCTTAAGATTGGCACCTGAACTAACATCTGTTGCCAATCTTATTTTTTAAAAATATTTTTAATGAATTAATTTTTTTCCTTCTCCCCAAAGCTCCCCAGTACATAGTTGTATATTCCAGTTGTAGGTGCTTCTGGTTGCGCTATGTGAGGCTCTGCCTCAGCATGGTTCGATGAGTGGTGCCATGTCCATGTCCAGGATCCAAACCCGTGAAACCCTGGACCGTGAAGTGAAATGCGGGAACTTAACCACTTGGCCTCGGGGCTGGACCCTAGACTCCTTTTCTGATTACTGTCCTGCCTCTCCCCCTCACAGAGGTAGTCTTGACTCTTATAATAAGAATTTACTTTCATTTCTTTATTGTTTTACCACTCACTTATGTATTTCTAAATATGTTAGTTAAATTTTGCCTGTTTTTGAACTTTATGAAATCACACTATAGCTATTTTCTTGTATCTTGTTTTTTTTCCCTCAACGTTATGTTTGGAAGATTCGTTTACATTTTTATGTGTTTGTTCATTCTCCCTGATATACAATATTTGAATGCACCACCATTCATTTATTCACTGGAAAGTTTTCAGTGTGGGGTAGTTATGAGCAATGCTGCTATGCAATTTTTGTACATGTCTCCTGGTGTATATAAGGCTGCATTGCTTTGGAGTATATACCTGAGAGTGGAGTTGCTTGGTCACAAAGCTCAAACCTTAGCAGATAACTACCAGCACTTTTTCCAAGTGATTTACCCTCCCATTACCAGGATATGAGAATTTCTCTGTTCTGCTCTTTGTCAATACTTGGTATTGTCAGACTTTAACATTTTTGCCACTCTGATGCTATCTAGTAATATTTGTTTGATTTTAATTTGCATTTTCCCACTTACTAGTAAGGTTGAGTGCCATTTCCTATGTTTATGAGCTGTTTGGATTTCCTTGTTTCCAAAATATATTTAAGTCTTTTGCCTATTTGTCTGTTGTGTTGCCTGCCTGCCTAGGAATTCTTTCTATATTCTGAATATTAATCCTTTGTCAGTTATATATGTGGCAGATATCATCTCCTACTTTTAGATTGTCATTTGATTCTTTTGATGACCAAAATTTCTTAATTTCAATGAAGTCAGATTTATTGATCTTTTCTTTTAGGGCTTTTACTTTTTGTATCTTATTTAAGGAATCTTTCCTAAAGTCATGAATATATTCTCCTATATTCCCTTATAAGTTTATCTTTTAAATTTAGATCTTTAATCCTGAAATTTATTTTCATGAAGAGTATGAAGTAGTGGTTCTGCATCTTTTTCTCATTTACTATGTTGTGGATATCTTTCTGATCAACACATAATGATTTACCTCATTGTTTTTGACAACTGCACAATTGCACAATTCGCTTTTTTTTTTTTAAGGAAGTTTAGCCCTGAGCTAACATTTGCCTCCAATCCTCCTCTTTTTTGCTGAGGAAGGGTGGCCCTGAGCTAAGATCTGTGCCCATGTTCCTCTATTTTATGAGCGACTCCTGCCACAGCATGGCTTGACAAGCAATGCATAGGTCTGCACCCGGGATCCGAACCTGTGAGCCTGGGGCTGCCGAAGCAGAATGTGCAAACTTAATCGCTGCACCACTGGGCCGGTCCCCCAATTTGCTTTTGATGAACAATTTTTATTTTCATTTATTTGTTGATGCAAATATTGGTATAATTAATATTCTTATACTCATATCTTTGAGTACCCATGCAAATATTACATACTAGAGATTTCTTGAAGTGAGATTACTGGGTGAAAAGGTACACACATTTAAATTTTTGACAAGTACTACCAAATTGTATTTTACTTCCATCAGTAATGATGGGGATCCTGATTTATCCCATTCTTGATAATATCATAATATCAATCAGATTAACATTTTCTAATTTACTTTTTATGACATTTAAAAATTGATAGTCTAGAGGGGAATCAAATTCTGTTTGATGCTGACACTCATGTCATCTTCAGAGATCAATTACCAGGTCCCCCACAGCCCATCTTCCTCCACTTTGATAAGCAATGCGGTTCTAAAGTCTAAGAATTTGTTTAACCCTTTCTGGTATTAAGAGAATCTTGTCCTGCTTTTCTTCCTCTTCCTGTTTCCCAACAAGTTGACACTGAGTAGAAAGGGCTGAGATGTGAGTTAATCCTGGTCTTTATTTCACCTCTGTTTATTCTCAACCCCTGCTTCATCCCTGGTCGATACCCAGAGGGTTTGAGGAAGGTCATTCTTTTGAAACTTACTGGTTTTCTTCACGTTGCCCTTGAAATGATCGCAGGGACACCGCTTCTGTGGCAGTCCAGGCACTGTCATGGGTTTTCTTTTAGGGGCTCTCAGGAACCAATCTGAAATAACAGGGTTGCTGCTTAGATGGTAGGGTTAATAAGTTTAAGAGTAGGGTGTAGGGCAAGGCTTTACTTGCCATCTTCCTTTCTTTTCAGTTCCTGTTTCGTACTGCAGTGGGATGGGGAAAAGGATAGACACAGAGCATTAGAGGTATCCAGTTATATTAGCCCCAGGACTTCTGAGTTGTTTTGCCTGAGCTGTATTGGCAAGAATTTCGTGGCAGCTTTGGAGGGGGCATCAGGATATCATTAGGGAGACCAGAAAATGAGGAATAAGATCTGGGTGTCTGCCTTTAGTGGCTGCAGTACCACAGGTAAGCCATTTTGCCCCTCTGATTTCTTATTTTGAGTAAAATAAGGTTGAGAATAAGATCTTGGAAGCTTTTGGAAGGCAGTCCTGAGTTCTTGGGGAAAAGGGTCAGGGGGAGAGGGCAGCCAGAGATTCACTCAGCTCTCCCCTGAACTTGGAGGAGTCCAGCTCTTGCCTGAGACTCAGGAAGAAAGCAAGCATTGGTGCTGCATGTGGTGGGCTGGTGGAGAAGGGAATGGGTGAAATGAGCTCAGATAACATCTGCACTGGTCTCGGGGGGACTCAAGGGAGAGAGTTGGGATCATGATGGTGCATTGCTGTGGTTGATGCTGAGTTACTGACCTTTGCACTCACATTCTTGGCCACCGGCCTTGAGCCACCTCCCAGAAGTCTGGTGTTGGTCCCTGTGACGTCTGGCAACCCCTGTCAGAAGGAAAAAGGTCACTTCTAGGCACTGGAAAAGGAAATGGCCAACAGAAGTGGTCCCCCAGCATTGTGTTACTAAGTCAGTGCAGTTCCATTTCTCTTCCATTTTTGCTCAGGGACCTGGGGTACTTCAAGAGAGGAGTATTTTAAATGGATAAGGAATTGAGGTTTAAATCCGGCCTAGAGAAAAGCTTAGCTGGAGGTAGGTGGAGAAAGAATGGCTTAGGGATGGAAAAGAGGACAAAAGGTGGGGATCAGTCAAGACTTTACACCTTCCCACTCCCCACTCACACACACTTTAAAATCATCATGACTTAAGGAATGAGAGCAAGGAGCACATTATCCCATAAACCTGTCAGGATTTTTACCTGACCTCCAAGTTTGCTTTATTTGAATCCATAATCCCAGTTCAAGTATAAGAGGATGGTATTTACCTTTGTTCCTCTGGAACAAATCCATTCCTCTTTTTGTCTCTATTCAAGTCTGTCTTATCACCTGATGCTATCTTCTTCCCATTTTGTGATACCTAAAGTATTTTATGACAATCAAAGATGATGGTTTATAGACTTGAGATTCTGGAGCTAGAACTGGGCCCAGGTGATGCTTTCTTTGCATAGTAGTTTCTCATACTTTCTGTCAGCCTTCACATGGTTCCTCTTCTCATTTGAATGTACCTGTATTATTGCACAGTTATAGTTTGTTGCTTAAAATCTGTTGTGGACTGAATTGTGTCCTCCCAAAATTCGTGTTGATGGCCTAACCCCCAGTACCTCAGAATGACTGTATTTGGAGACATGGGCTTTAAAGAGGTGATTGAGTTGCAATGAGGCCATTATGGTTGGCCCTCTCCCAATGTGACTGTAGTCCTCTTAAGAAGAAGATATTTGGACACACAAAGAGACACCAGGGACATCAGGGATGTACATGAACAGAGAAAAGACCATGTGACAGTATAGCAAGTAGGGGCATCTACAAGCCAAGGAGAGAGGCCTCAGAAGAAACCAAGCTTGCCAGCACTTTGATCTTGGACTTCTGGCCTCCAGAACTGTTAAAAAATAAATTTCTTTTGTTTAAGCTACCCAGTCTGTGGTATTTTGTTATGGCAGCCCTAGCAAACGAAAAATCTTTCTCCCTCTTTAGACTCTGAATCAGTGGCTCAGTAGTAATTCAGCTACATGGTTCCCAACCCATGGTAGGCACTTGGTAAATGTTCGTTCAGTAAGCGTTTGGACAAGTTGTCTAGAGAGGGCCCTCGGAGATCATCTGGTTCAGTCCAGGTCTCCTATTTCCCAGACTCGTGCCCTTTCTGTCACACAGATGGGGGTGTTGCATCATTTCTCAAAGTGCTGGTTTCCAAATGTTCTCATGTGCTGTTTTGAGTGCTGTTAAAATAATTTAAACAGGCATCCGTAGCCCCTGCCATCCCAACTTTTCTAATAGTTTTCTCTCACCTGACCTGTACGCCTAGTTCCAGAGGAAAGCCACAGGACATTAGAGCCAGAAGGAATCTTGGAGATTATTTAGCTGGATCCCTTCATAGAGAAGTTTTTTTCGTCTAAATGTAATTATATTAGAGAAAATTTGGAAAGGACTAATAAAGAAGTCTTTATTCTTACCAACTGTTGGTATTTTGCCATGTTTCCTGCATATGGTTTTCTGTATATGGTGATAACAATAGCATGTGAGCAGATTTCTTTCTGTTTACTTTATAGTAAGCATGTTGCTATATTGTCTTCATAATAGACATTTTAAATGATTGCATAACACTCCCAACAAGTATATGTGCTCTATGTGCTCTATGTTATTTAATTGTTCTCCCATTGCTGAATATTTAGATTTTTTAGGATCTTGATAAATTTCTTTGTGCTAGTAACTGTATTCCAAATGTTGGATTAATTGTCTTCATCAAGAGTCCCAAAGTGGAATTAGTGGGTCAAAAGTTAAGAACAGCCTTGTGTTTCTTTTTTCTTTTTTTTTTTTTTCAGCCTTGTGTTTCTTGATATTATTACCAAATTGATTTTAGAAAGATAGTACCAATTAATTAATTCACTATCTCTTTTTATTTCACATGATGAAACTGAGGCCCAGAGAGAGCAAATGAAATGCCCAAATTCACAAAGGTGATGGTGACACAGCTGGACCTAAACCCAGGTCCAAGATTCTTAGTCTGTTTTTTTTTCTGCAGCTCTGATAACCCTAATTTCATGGTGTAACTGACAATGAAGCTGCACGTTACTACAGTCTAATGTCTCCCAACCCTCAGACACGTATGATTTTTGCTTTAGCTTGTACCACCTTTACTATTATTTACTTCATACTTTTTCTTTAAATAAATTTAATTTACAAAACAGCCTCATCCTATGGGATATTATCTGTGAGGTTATGGGTTTGGTATATGCTTAGATTTTTTTCTAACAGGTATTAAAATAAACGCTAATTTATGTTCTACCTAAAATCAAACTTGGAAAATAATGATACAGTGGAATAAGCATGGACTTTATATCCAGAGAGAACTGGGATCAACTATTGTTCTCTCATTGAGCTCTGTAGTCTTGGATAAGTCACTTAGCTTCTTTGGTCTTGGTTCTCTGATTTTTGAAAGGAGGATAATAATATCCACCTTGCAGAGTTAGGAGTAAATGAGCTACTGTGTGTGCCCAGTGCTCAGTGCCCAAGTGTTCAGTACATGATGGTTATTGTGGTTGTTTTCATGGACTTCTAGTTTTTTCCCAAAGAGAGAGTCTATGCTGGAATGCTAGGCTTGTTGCTTGCTGCTGACTTACATGTGTAAAGAAGTTAGTTCCACTTATGAGGATTTGTGGTAGATCCATCATTATTTTGACTTCTCAGTTCCACTACATATTAGCTTTGTGATTTTGGACAAGTTGCTTAACTTTTCTGTGCCTCATTTACCTAATTTGTAAAACAGGGCTAATAGCACATTAGTGTGTGTATGCATGCGTCTGTTTCTAGCTCTGTCCACTAGAGGGCCTAGAAGGAATAGCACCTAGTAGCAATGGGCCATACCTAGTGTCATGGTTTGTGAATACCATTCTCCCATGTAAGGAACCTGGGGTCCTTGGAGAAATGGCTGATTCCAGAGCCGGGGCAGGAAATTTCATCCAAGATGAGTCTGGAACATCTTGTGGTGTCAGAAAGTCAGCATTTGCAAAGCAAATGATATGTGAAAAAGACAGAAGCCAACTTGAAGGAGCTCTCCATGGCCAATTTTGAGACAATATGGGCAACATAATAAATAATGATAGTAATGGATAATAATCCACAAAGATTTATGAATCTTTACTTATATAAATAAATAATTGAATAAATAAATGGAAGAGAAGGAACAGCTCTTTCTTATAGTATAGTGAGATTAATAAGTGTAGAAGGAATGATGTAAACAGAAAATCACCATTTGGCCAGCACCACAGTAACACTTGTTGTAGGCAAGAATCATCAATGGGCTTTAAAAATTAATGGACAAAATTGTGATGAGAAGAAACAGGTTATTCACATCATCTCAGAGTATCTGTCCACAAGATTCTTATTGGTTACAATGGGAAAAATAGTAACTTTACAGTAGAGAAACATGGCTGACACCCTCTTAACCAAGTGTTCAAAGTTAACATCACCAGTAATGAGAGTCATTGGTATCATGGACCTTCTGATGGGATGCTCCGAGAAGGCACACATCATTTCTGTGATATTTTTGCCAAAAATGCATTATCTGAACTTAATCATGAGGAAACATCAGACAAACCCAAATTGAGGGGCATTCTACAAAATAACTGACCAGTACTCTTCGAAAGTGTCATGGTCGTAAAGACAAGGAAGGCTGAGAAACTACCCTAGATTGGAGGAGCCTAAAGAGGCTTGATAACTTTATTCATTGTAGGATTCTGGGTTGGATTCTGAGCCAGGAAGAAAGACATTAATGGAGTGATTAGCAAAATTTGAATACTTGTACATTAGTTAGTAGTATTACATCAATGCTAATTTCCTGGTTTTGATAATCGTATTAAGGTTATGTAAGATGTTATTTGAAAAAACTGAATGAAGGATGCATTGAAACTCTGATTACGTTTACAATATTTTTTAAGTCTGTAAAATGAAAAGTAATGAATAAAACAAAAACACATTAAGGGGCCGGCCTGGTGGCACAATGGTTAAGTGCACACGTTCTGCTTCGGCGGCCCGGGGTTCGCCTGTTTGGATCCCGGGGGCGGACACGGCACTGCTTGGCAAGTCATGCTTGGTAGGCGTCCCATATATAAAGTAGAGGAAGATGGGCATGGATGTTGGCTCAGGGCCAGTCTTCCTCAGCAAAAAGAGGAGGTTTGGCAGTAGTTAGCTCAGGGCTAATCTTCCTCAAAAAGAAAAAATACGTTAGATTTCAGTGAGGTCAGAATGAGGTAATATGTGTGATGTGCTTAGTCCAATGCCTGCCACATAGGATAGCCTAACATATATCAGCTATTATTATAAGTAATTTTATAATTAATAAGTGATATTATAAGTAAGGAGTAATCTATTATTATAAGTAATTTATTTCCTAATTTTCCCACATATTCTCATCTATTTTTCCCCTCTGTCCTATGACAAGCATACTGAGCATGTATGTAGTTATTTTAAGAGATAAATTTAGATCAGATATTATTTTTAGGGGGTGGGTGGAGCATGTCATTTCCTCTAGCCAGACTTCCTCAGGTGTTGCGAAAATTGAGCCAGCACTGTGAATCCGATGTGGTTTGTAATCACACCACCTGGTGGCACAGTGAGCTTTCCCCAGTTCATTGCCCTTGTGCTCTAGGAGCTACTTAGAAATTCTGCTCAGTCCATTTATTGAAGCCTGACTATGTCTACATTATAGATCATTTAATCTTCACAAGAATTCTATGTGCTAAGTGGCATTTTATTCATTTTAGGATGATAAAACTGAGGCTCCAAAAAGTTAAGCATTTTCCCCAGGATTGCAAAGAGGCTGAGCCAGGATCTGGATCTCAGTTCCCTTGACTTCAAGGCTGGGTGTAAAGGCCTAGGTAAGTCTAAACACATAGCCAGGTTCGAGAACTATTGATATAGAGCGGTCGTTTAGAGAGATGTAGAGCAGGGGGAGTGGTTTCCTGCTCCAGGGGCTATTTGGCAATGTCTTGAGGTATTTTTGGCTCTCCTAACTGGGGGGCTGGGGGGAGGCATGGAGAGGATGCTATTGGCATCCAGTGGGTAGAGGCCACATATATGCTGCTAAACATCTTATAATGCACAGAACAACACCACAAGCAAAGAATTAGCCAACCATAAATGTCAACAGAGCTGCTATCAATCCCGGGTGTAGAGTTTTCCAAGGGCAGCATTTTGAACTTAGTAACCAGAGGATTTATTCTTTTACTTAGAAAATATTAACTGAGTGCTATGCTCGATAATGAGAGGGTTCTGGAAACAATACATCAGACTGTGCCACCAAGGAGATTCCAGTGTAGAGGGGCAGGGAGTGGAGGCAGGAGAGGCACAGCAGCAATTTCAGTGTTAGGCAGAATATAAGTGCAGAGAGAGAGAGTCAAGTTAGGACTAAGCATGTTCGCAGGAGGGAGAGCTCACATCTGGTCGTGGAACGAATCAACGGAGGCTCTGGGGAGGAGGTGCTTTTGAGCTGGGTGTATGAACAAAGTAGAGCTAGCAGGAAAGCAAAGATTGTTCAGGGAACAGCCAACAGTGTGGTTTAGGTGTGGCGGAACCATTGGTCTGTGAGTGGAGGGGGTGGGCTGGAAAGGTAGATTGTGGTTAGAGCTTTGATTCCAAACTGAGGACTTCAGATTTAGTGTCTGTCATAGAGATGGAAAATCCTTCCTTTCCAGAAGGTTAGTCTAGGCTCTAGGGCTATCGGGCCCAGTGGCTTCCAGAGAGCTCTCTCTGTAAGGGAGGGAAGTTCGATATTGGCATGTAGTATGGTGAACTTCTTGATTTTAAGGACTGAATTGATGCTTAATGTCTAACAAAGCTATTTCACCTTAAAGTAGCCCTTGTGGAGATTATTTTTCTGAGTAGAAATATACGTGAAGATGAGCTCTCTTCTGCGTGGTTGTTCTGCTAAAGGCTGTGCCACTTGAGCTGTAGTGAAACTGAAGCCCATTCGGCACCCCTAACCAAAGGTCTACTTCCCAAAAGGTGAGCTGTTAGAACTGAGCTCGGTATGGTTAATGCTTCAAATATGAATGTTATCTGGTGATGGGATTTTTCTAGTTAGTTATTTAATCATTAAATAGTATTAAAAATTGTTGGTGGCATGTCTGGTGCACTATAAAGAATATAAGCAAGTACTTCCTTATCTTCTACGAATGTACCATTGCCTTCAACACCTTTACACCACCAAAACTAAGACTGGCCTGGGGGAAACTCATTGCTCTGCTGGAAAGGGAATTGGGGTAAAGGTAATGGAGCAAATCTTTGTTGAGCCAGTATTTTATTTTCTTTTTTTGCCAGCAACAGTTTCAGACATTTTCATATACATTATCTCATTTAATTCTCATAACATTCTTTGAAACACAGTTTTCTCTTTTTTACAAATGAGAAAATGGGCACTGAGATAGGCTAACTTGCCCCAAATCCCTGTAGCTGAAAGGGGCTACGTTTCAATGCATGTTTTTTGTCACCTTTTCTGTTTTGCCATATTTTCTCCCCCCTTGTTCCCCTTTATAGGAAATTAATCTCACTTACCTGGATTTGGAATGCTAGAGACCACAGATATCAGCATTAGGGGCAGCGACAGAAGAAGGGAAGAGATTAGAACTTTCATGGTGACTGTTGGTGCTGCTCTAAGTCACTTGAAGAGGGTGTGGAAGGTTCCCAGTTGGAGGCTGCCCACTTCTTGGGACGGCTCAGACCTTGATACTTGGCTTGGCGGTCTGTGCTTTAATCCCAGGCCAGTGTTCCCTTTAGAGGGGAGAACAGCAAAGTGTCGTTGGACTTGTTAGGTAACAGGTTGAACCCTGTGCTTTACAGGAACCTGGAAGGCGAAACTGGCCAAACAACAGAAATGAAGCATTCTTAAGAACATAAGAAGGTGACTAATAACCTGGCAGCAATATTTGTTCCTTCCCCTCCTCCTTCCTGCCTCACTACCCTTCAATGTGTTATGATTTCTTCCCCAAGTCTTTTTGCTCATTTGAATTTCCTTATACCTTGCCGCAATGCCTTCTAGCTTAATATCTGGGAGGAAAGTGAGTATAGGGGTTGGCAGAAGAGAGGATGACATGGTCTGTTTCTCCTCTGTCCTTCCTGCTCCCATCCTTGGCATGATATCGACAATAGTAGTGTTATTTGGGAAGTGGCCCTGTCCTCACTCTGTTGACAGTTTCCTCCAATTCTGTGGCCACATGAGGTGGGAATCAGAGAGGATCAAGGAGGAGAGGCTGTTCTCTCTTGCCCAAAACATTGCCCCTGGAGCAGTGGGTCGCACCAGGCCTCCTTGTTCTTCATCAGGAAGGTGGCTGTGGCTTAGTTGCTCCAGCCTAAAGGACAGGGAATTGGGTTGGTAGAAGACCCCCAAGGCTTCAGGTCCATGAAATAAGGTTTGAGAAACAGGAACCACAGGAAGGAAGGAACCCTTTAGGGTGTTTGCCCAGGGTGCTGGGGCTCTTGGTTCCAGACCTTGTTTGGAAACAGCCCAGGGCAAAAGAAGGAGGTAATATGACTTGGAGTGAACGTGTAGGTTACAGAACATTAGCACTTATTAAACCTGACTACTACTCCAGAGACTTTAGGAAATATGCTCAAAGGAAGAGGAGAGGTGGGCTTAAGTGCTGGGTGGAGGTTGGGGACTGAGGGGATGGTTAACAAGGAAGTCCTCCCCAGCAACCCCAGGCAGGGGTGAGAATGGGTGGTATGACTTTGTTTCATCTCAGAGGAGGGAAGAGTCACACCTGTTTTGATTTTTGTTTGATCACTCTTACCCTCTCAATTTTCAGATTATTCTTGCCTGTTGACATGTTGGAGTGGTGATTACAGACACTGCTACCACAAGGTTTATCAAGCACTGCCGGGGTGCCAGGCACTGTGCTGGGAAGTTCAGATTGTCCTCAAGTGGATGACTTGGGCTTGATCCGAGCTTTATCTGATACAAACCACTGATGTGGGTTCTCTCTGGAAAATTCTAGCAATGGTCTCTCTCCTCAGGAGTCTCAAAAGTAACTAGGAAGATGACAAACCCATCATAAAATCTCAAGATATAAGCGGAACCAAATTTCATAAGTGATGGGAGTTCACTGTGGTCTCAGAGTAGCTCAGGGGACTCTGGGTCAGTGGAATTTGGGCTGGGACTCAAGGATGGGTAGGTTTGGGTTGTTGGAGGGCAGTGCAGAGAAGAAGCATGGAGCTAGTTGGGGGGGAATCTTTGAGTGCAGGGGCTGGGTTTGTTCATTTTCGTGTTCCTGAGCTTATGTGGGGCCTGACAATTTGGGAGTACTCTGTAAATGTTTTTGAATGGAATGACATTTTTGTAACACCTTAACTAGGCCTGATATGTAAGAAAGCATGTGAAAGTGCAGTCTGTTACCAGAAAGAAGATTTTACTGATAAATGATCACGCATACACATGGAAGCTTATGGGGATGCTTTGCTTTTCACACTGAGTTGCCATCAGTTCCCTCTGAGGCTGCTCAGGATCAGGGAGCTCCTACTCAGACCTTCCTCCAGGTTTGCCAGTCTGCTTACTCCTCTGCTCCCCCTGGGTCCTGGCTCCCTGTCAGTTCACTCTGTCTCATTTTCCCTTCTGTGGACTTGTGGAGGGGTGTTGGGTCCTGTGTACCTTTGGAGGGGCTTTGGGTCCCTCAGGTCCATTGATATAAAACACCCCTAAGACAAACAGACTTTCCTTTTGTTAATAACAACAACTACTAGGGCCCACCTTGACAACATTATTTGTGCCAAGACAGTCTCTCTGACTTTCTAAGGCTCCCCTCTGAGAAGGAGGTAACTGGAAAGTGGGGAGAAATTACCTTTCTACCACACCTATTTGATCTCCTCACTCTACAGTGTACTTAGCAGACATTCAGAAATGTTTGTCGATTGATTCCATGATTCGTGTTGCTCTAATAATCATCATTTATCCATACATGCATTTGGTGAACAATTGAGTACCTAATGTGAGCCTGTTATTTGCCAGGTGGTGGCTCCTGAGAGGAGTAAGGGGTGATGCTGTCTCTGAGGAGCTTTCACTATAGACATAGACCCATGGAGATCTAATCCAACTCCTTCATTTTATAGGAGTGGAAATTAAAGCTCAGGGAAATTATATGATTTGTTCAACATCATGCAGCCAGTTAGCCTCAAAGCCAAAGGACCAAAACTCAAGATTTCTGACTTGCTAGAATTTCTGTTGGTGTGCACCTGCTTGGCTGCTGCATGTGCACATGTGGTGAGCACTAATAGGGGAGAGGGGACGTTCAGAATGAAGTGGGAGCCTCCAACACCTTGGGTTAGCCAGAAGGAAATGCCCAATCCAACCATGACTGCAAAAGGACCATCTGGACATTTGTGGTTTTATTTCCAGTTTGAGCTTGAAATGAGAAAAACTGAGCCCAGAAAGCTGAGAGTGGAAGATTTTCATGGAATTTATGAGATGGGCCACAAAGGCTATGTTTACCTCTATCAATCTGTTCCTCATTGAACTGTAATGTCTAGTTTTGAATGGGTTCTCCCCATAACCTAGAGCTGAATGAGGGAAGGGACTAGGTCTAATTCATCTTTGTGTCTCCAGTGTGTGTATGTTGTGTGAAACGGTATTAAACTTATTTCAATGCCTACACAGAGTAGGACTAGGATTGGTGAGTATGCATCAGGCCCATTTTGGCTCAGGAGGGGAAACAACTGACACAGTAAAGTAAGTTTCCTTGGAAAACTGCAAGTTTACTGGCAGAGTTCCAGCAGGGGCTGGATGTCTGAAAATAACTGTCACAGTGAGTTTTTTTGAAGGTTACAAGGGCAGAGCTTGGCTTGCAGACCAGGTTTCCCACCAAGACCACATTTTATTAGGCATTATAAAAACTGCGTTTTGAAATGTGACGTTATGATGCAGGCTAAGCTCTGTGTAACAGTTACTTCCGGTCATTGTGGATGGTTGTGATTCTCTTATCTAATCTATGAGTTGGACTTCATCCCCTCTGCCAACCTTCCCCATCCTTGGCTGGTGAGAGTGGTGAGATTAAGTGCATTTACTGATCATGGCCACAAGGAGGCAGCACTGCCCCTCTAGTGTTCCAAGGACCTCTATCCTGATGTGGGCAAGTCTGTGACGGGAGCTTAGCATTAGGAAAATGGCACAGATGAACTGAAAAGGAAAGCAGTTTGTGTTTTGTTTTTATTTTTTTCCTGTGAAGTGACAGAGTTGAGGTGAGTCTGAACATTTAGAACATCTCAAACTTTATTGCACTTACAGATCACCTGAGGATCTTGTTTAAATATAGATGTCATTCTTCTGGTGGGGCCTGAGATTCTGCATTTCTCATAAGCGTTTGGATGATGCCTTGCTGCTGGTTGGTGGACCACACTTTGAGTAGAGAATCTTTAGAGGTCATTGAGAGAGTAAGCCTCAATCCACCTGATTTATGGATGAAGAGAAATTGAAGTCCAGAGAGAGTGTCACTTGCCTTACGTAGCCATGACTTTGTCACATAACTTTTTACATTTAAACCCAAGATTCTCCCTCTTTGTCCAGTTCTCACTTCACTATATTGTGTGACCCCATTTATTGTTGTTAGTGGCATCTCTAGCTTAGGAACCTAGAACTCCCATTTTCATCAACATACTCTTTGGTCTTTACTCAAAGGCATCACTTAGGTTATCCCCTTACTCAAAACCTTCAGTAGCTCTTCTGTAACCACAAACAAAATTCAAATGTGTCTGTCTAGTTTTCATGACCGTACAATACAAGGTCCCACTTTAGCAAGCTTACCTAACTGCCCTGTTTCTAAACCCTATCTTTCTGCTGTAGCCGTCCCTGCCCCTTCATGTTCCCTAAAGATACTCTCTTCATTCCTCTCTCAGTGGTAGTGCTATTGGCATGGGCTTTGCAATCAGACATAGCTACTTTCTAATCCCAAATCCACCACCAACCTTGGCAAGTTACTTCACCTTTCTGAGGATCATCATCCTCTTCTGAAATAACCCCATATGGTGGTTGAGAGGAGTAAATAAAATAATATATGTAAACCCACTCTCATTCCTGAAATCCTCTTCAAAACTAGCATCTATAGTGGTGCCTGATACCTGGTTCCCTGTTCATGTGTTTCTCCTTGTCTCTGTTTCCCTGAGACTTAACCATTCAAAGACCTAACCTGAATCCTGTCTCTTTCCTGAAACCTTTCCCAGTCAACCTGACCTAGTTGATCCCACGCTTCTATAAATTGTTTCACCTATGTGTTAGCATTTAATTAATGTGCCAGCTCCCTCAGTGAGATCCCTTAGAGAGGCTTGAGGGATAACTGGCTATATAATAATTAAGGGATAATTGAGTTACTTCTTTGTTAGTACTCCCTGAATGTTTAGGCTGCCTTCTCTTTTGTGACTTATTGACTAGCAGCGACTCTTACTGCACCAGTGGCACCAGATCCTGGTGGTTCGTGAATATATTAGGGCTTCTTCTCATCAGGGTCTTTCTTGCCTCCAGATTTTGGTTACATTGGTGTTTCTCTTTGTGTGTTATCAGATGGACCCTCTCAGGGAGGTGTTGATGAAATCTCTTTATGGAAACTCCAAGGTAATAACCCTAAGGAAGTTGAGCACAGTATCATTGCTTCAACAGCCTGGTGAGAGATGTGTACACTTTCCTAATTCATGAAGTTTACAACAGGGTCCTTACTTTCTTACTTCAGAAGAGATTAAGAACAAAAGACCAAATGGGGAGGGCAAGGTTGTTTAAGGGAGGTCCCGTACTTCTGACCCAGATTCTGTGAAATATTCATTCACCCATCCCTGAAAATGTTTGTGTTTGCTTGTGTGGTGGTATATTTATATCGCCTGATCCATAATTCCCTCCCTCAGTGGCAATTGGGACTCATGTCAGGCTTATGACAGTAAAATTATATGATGTGTACTTTCACTGCAGCAAATGTTTCTGTGAGGTCTGGAGAGAAAATAGACCAGGAGGGCTGGACACTTCACTGGATATCTTGCCTTCTCCTCTTATTGGACAGCAGTTTACTCACCCATCACTGTCTCAATCAGGGGATTTTGGCCTTTCCTTTTCCCTACCATGGGTCCATGTTAAAGTCCAGATATATTTATCTGTGCCTGGAACTGGCTGTTCTTTTAAAAAGAGAGGGCCAAGGAATGACTTCCTTGCTAATTTCTGGGATTCTAATTTTCATTGTCTAAGCTGGTGCTTTCCAACCCTAGATGCTGGTTATAATCATGTGCATCATATTTAAAACCTACTAGTGCCTGTGCCTCATCCCCAGAGTGTCTGATTTGATTGGCCTATGGTGTGGCCCAGGCATTGGTAGTTTAGAAAAGCTTCCACATAAAATAGTCATTTTACAGTGGAGAAACCTTAGCTACATGTTCAAAGGTAACATCACCAGTAAGGAGAGATATGGATATCATGGGCCTGATATGATGGACTGAGAAGGCACAGCATCCCTTCTGTGGTATTCTTGGCAAAAGGGCATAACCTAAGTTTAATCATGAGGAAATATTAGATAAGCCCAAACTGAGGCTCATTCTAAAAAGTAACTGGCCGATACTCTTTAAAAATATTGTCATGAAGGTAAAAGAATTATGAACTGATCCTGATTAAAGATACTGAGGAGACAAAACCACTAAATGTATAGTGCGATCCTAAATTTGATCCTAGTTCAAAGACTATTAGAGGCAAGGTCGATAAAATTTGAATAAGATCTGTAGATTACTTCATTGTATTCTATCAATGATAATTTATTGATTTTGACAATTGTACTGATGTTGTCTGTAGCATTAATATTTACAGGAGTTGAGTGAAGGGTATATGCGAGTTTGACTATTTTTGGAACATTTCTGAATGTCTGAAATTATGTTAAAATGAAAAGTTATAAAAAGAAAAGCAAAGAAGAGAAAGAAACTTCCAGGGAATTAATGAGTTGCCACAGTTGAGAACCACTTTCTTAAGTCATCTTGCCTAATACTGTCAGAGTAATCTTCCTGAAAATGCTGTTTTGCCCTGTTGCTAACCTTCTCAAAGCATTCTAGTGACTCCTATCTATAGGATGAAGTTCATTTTCCTTAGGCTGCCATTGAAATACCCTGTAGCATGGCCCCAATCTGCTCCCTTGATCTACATAATAAGACCTGAACCTGGATTTTACTTTCTCATGTGTGAATTGACTCTAATTCTTTTCCTTGTTTCTATAATACCCCTGCCTTTTTGCTCAGCCTCCGAATTATTCTTCATTCTAAGGCCCATTTCACATCCTGTCTCTTCCCTGAAGCCTTTTATGAATATTTCTGTTAGAAGCAGCCATCTTTCCATTCTTTGAATTGTAGCAGGTAGGATGGTGTAGAGTGAAAACATAAGCTTTAGATTCAGAACTATGTGAGTCTGAATCCTGGTTCCATTTTTTCCCTTGTCCTTGGAAAAAGGGCAAGTTAATTGACTTCTTGGAGTTTTGATTTCTCATTTGCAAAATAGGGATAATAGTTGCAATGTCAAAGGGTCACTGTGAGCATTAAGCGAGGTGGAAAAATAAAGGTCCCCAGCACACAGCATGTTCTGTCCTATTCTTGTCGTAGCTGCGTGGTCCCCAGAGGGATTGTGGGTGGTGCAAAGGCTCTTGTCAAAATTTCCTGCAGAACCTTTAAAAGATATTTGTGTCTGGTCATCACTAAGATGACAGACACTCTTGAACTGAATTGACTGCTTGGGGCTTTAAAGAATTCAGCTGAGATTCCCCACCATCATTTCCTTCTCTAGGTCACTGCAAGGGTCTTCTCTCTGACTCCCCTCTTTCCCTCCAGTATAATTTCATGCCCTATCTAATTCATGCTCCACAGTGCATATAGAGTGGTCTTAGAAAACAATATTCTGATCATATCTTTTTCCATTATTAAAGTCCTTTAATTGTTCCTTATTGCCCCCAGGGTGCACTTTGGTCTCTTCAGCATGGCTCCCAAATTTGTGTTGTGTTAACAAATTCACAAGACCTCCTCTGCTCTCCATAGCATCTGGGAATTTGTACTTAGTCTGTCTGCGTAGAACACCCCTGTCATACCTCTTTATTTTCCTGTCAGTTTTAGTTATCCCTCAGGCCTCGGTTCAACCATTACCTCTTCTGTAATCCTATGATGACACACCAACCCCAGATTATGATCCTGCAGTTCCCAGCGTTCACCCCTCTTGTAGCACTTATAATGCTTTCCTGAGAATGCCTGGTGAATGTACTGTAAGTGTCTTCTAGGCATGGCCTCTGTGTCTCATTTTTGAATTCCTGGGGCCTATAAAAGTACCTGTCACATAATAGATTCTCAGTAAACATTTGTGATATCAGTGAATTATTTATTGTAGTTACTTTAGACACGCTTTTCATTAAACCAATTGAAGAAGTGATGCAGTATAAGCTTGTACTTTTTCTCTGTTCTTTTCTGGCACGTGCATTTCAGTGGATAAGGAAGTATCTCTAAAGCTTACGGCAAATTCATCATAGTCTCCTGTAGGACATGACTGGAGCAGGAAGGTGAGTGTGCATTTAATAGATAAGTTTAAAACAAGTCTAGGTCAGGAGAAGGGGAGAGATGGGAGGTTCTGGCAACTCTCTCCCAAAGTCTGCTTTGCCAAATATTCAAAGACTGGGAAGGTTGGGTTACCTACAGACTCCTGGATGTAGCTTTTCATTTATTGACACTGAAGGGAGGGGCTATGACCTGGCAGGCTGGAGGTGCCTCACTTTGAAGTTAAGGGGTCGGGGGGAGGCTTCTTCCTCTCTTCCCTAAAGGTAAAGGGATCCTTCCAGTGATGGGGATGACAAGCTTGGAGTAAGTCAGCAGTGCAGCAAACAGGGCAGGTTGCGTTACTTCTTTTTTACTTCTGAAGAAACTGTTTCTATGGCTGATGGAGCTGAGGAGGCTGAAGTTGGTTTCTTTGATTCCAGGACATTGAAGTTCAGGGAAGAAAATGCAGCTTCATCCATCTGAAAGACTTGAGCATCGGTCAGTTAAATCAGTGTCATAGGTCAGGCCCTCACCTGGTCCAGTGTGATTCAGTACCACCTGCTATCACCACTTTGAAACTTTTAGCTTTGGAGAAGAGCTTTTATCACCCATTGTCTCTGCTTGCTAACATCCAATGATCATTGGAAGAGAGAGATTATGATGTTAGTACAATGGAATATGATGATGCAATAATGAGAATGAACACACTACAAATGCATACAACAATATGGATGAATCTCACAAAACAAGTGTGAATGAAAGAAGCCAGACACATATATGGATATGCTGTGTCTGTCATTTATGAAATAGCATAAACAGGCAAAACTAATCTAGTGCACTGGAAGTCAGGATAGTGGTTACTCTTCGAAGGGAAGTAGCTGGAGGGGTTTTTGTTGGGGGATGACATGTTTTGTTTCTTGATTTCGGTGCTCCTTACATCGGTACGTTCAACTTGTGAAAATTCATACATTCTTAAAATATACTTATGATTTAAGCACTTTTCATTATATATGTGTGTGCTATTGAAAGGATAAGATGAGAACAATTTGGTAAAATTATTATAAAGGAACTAAGACCTCAGACCCACTAGAATGGAAATTATCCTTTGACAGTACGAGCAGAGTCAGACTGATGGTAGAGGAGAGAGAATGACTGAGCCCTTCCTTGTGTTGGGAACTGTGCTGGGTGCTGTACATTTGTATCTTATTGAATTCCTTCAGCTTTTCTTTGAATCAGACAGCATATCCACTTTACAGATGACACAGCTGAGGATCAGAAAAGTTAAGCTACTTGTCCAAGGTCACAGAACTGTGAAGGGTCTCAGCCAGGATTCAAACACAGAGTGGGGATAATTCCAAAGTCCACATGCTTGCAATGAGGGAGACTCATGGGAGTCATTACCCATACTTCTTTGCTGCTATATTGAGGAAGTTTGACTCAAACCTGGTCTCACATTGGTGTCTTCGAGAATAACCTATTCTTCATAGAGATATTTCCATGAGCATGTGATCCAGTGAGACTGACTGTGCTTACCTTGTTATGATTGTTGTCAGTGTGGCCTTGACCTGGGGAAGCAAAAGAAGAGTTGCCAACCCATGGAAATGCAAAGCTGACTTATGGCCTTAGAATGATGGTGTTCCTAAGCCATTGTGATTTCTAGCTGAAGGAGGTGGTAGGTGATGGGAGGGTAGGGTGGAGAGTGGCCCATGATCACTTAAGAATTGGCTTCCCTCAGAGTGTGTGGTCCAAACCCAGGGCATTAGTACCAGAGGAGGGACAGGGGTAGAGCCAGAGGAGACCTCCACCCGCTTCTGAAGACTTTTGCCATGTCATAAGGCCTTGAGTTTTTAACTGATGTGTTTCTCAGCAGCAAGCTTCAGCGGCAAGGAGGGACATTGAGGCCCATAGCACCCAGAGCACCATACGACAGGGAAAGTCTCACCAAAGGAGACTGCCCTCATCCATAAAGAGGTACAAGGGTGAAGGAGGAAGGATGACAAAATGGCTCCTAGAAACATGTCCATCTTACTCAGTCCTGCCTGACCTAGGCAGAATGAGCATCTCACCTGGGGCTGTGTCTCAGTGGAATCTTCTGTGGCTAGGAAGGGTGTGAGGACATATATTAACTTGAGGTTGAAAATGGAGATCCCCTCTGAAAATTCAGGAGGTAGGGAGTGGTTTGGGAATCCAAGATTCCCTGCTAGGACAGGGTATGTGGTGGAACCCACCAGCTCTCACTAGGTAACTGTGGCTTTACTTACTGTGTTTGGAGGCTGATGGTTTGTGTTCTGTGAGATTGCACTGGTCACATACCCTGTATAAATATCAGACACTGTGACTGCTATTCCCAAGCATGGGATCTTTGCTCCTTGAATGAGGAAGGACACTGTCAGCAGATAATTCCTCGGGGCTCCTCAATGTTCATTTCCAACATGATTGGTACTGTCTTTCCTCTCAGGGCCTCCTTCCTCAGTCTACCCTTAATTCTTTCTGGTGTTTACTCCTTTCCTGTTTGCTGGGTGTGCACATTTAGGTCCATTCTTTATCAACTGCTTCTGAGCCTCCTTCTATCCTGACACCTTTCCCCTTTTCTAGGTAGATGGTATTTTCTTTCTAACTTTATTTATTGCCTAAGAAGCCATTGTTTCTGTTTTTTCTTAGGTTCTCTTCCCATCTTATCCATCCCTCCTCCTCCTATGACTGAGAGAGCACACAACTTGCTTTTTCCTGCCCCTCCTTTCCTTTCCTCATTTGTTTTCCTTCTTGGACCTTGGCTTCCCTGACTAAGGGACAGAGGAACATAGTTGGATCTGCCCCCTCTAAACCAGAGGAGGATAGGAATAACCATGTCCAATAGACATTGGGGTATAGGAAGCCTGAAGACTAGGGAAGATGAGACCTTCAGGAATTAGTGCTGAGAAGCAGGGGTTTAGGAAGTAGGAGGAGGAGATGCAGGCCCAGAGACAGAGTTGAAGTCTCCTTCCCTCTCACAAGCATGGCGGTTAGCCTTGGAGAAAGTGAAACACTAAGAAATGCCATCATACTCTCCACCACCATTCACTGCACAGAGACCGTGCTTTCCACAAGCTCCCAGCAGGGATATGAAAGCCATCCCAGTTCTGGGAGAAACAACTTTCCTCTGATGGGTGACTTTCGCTCAAGGACTCCCTGTCAGCCTTGTAGACACTCTCTTAGAACTGAATTGCAAGCTAAAGCTTCCTTCCTTCTCTTTCTCCTTCATAAGGTCAGATCTGCGTCATGGTCTGAGGAATCTCCCAAGCTCCTTCCACTCCACTTTCCTTCACAGGCATTTTCCCCAATAAATATATTGTGTGTCTAATCCCGTCTTGACTGCGTCTCAGGATGAAATCTAACATACCACACTTGAAAATTTGCAGTCAACTCCTTTTCTTCTCTCCTATATTTAATCAGTAACCATGTCCCAGTGGGTTTTTTTTTGTGTTATACCTCCCCTCCCCCAAATATATATCACATTTTGCATCTGTTTCTTCTTTTCTATTTCTGTTTCCCTCATAACTCAACTCAAGACTGATGATTAATGCTAATGTTAGCGATTGTTATAAAGCTTTTACCATGTGCCAGGCTCTGTGCTATATACTTTTCATATATCTCATTTTATTCATATAATAACCCTGTCAGATAGACATTATTTCCATTTTACAGATGAAAAAATTGAGGCTTACGGTGGTGAAAGAACTTACCCAAAGTCATATTTCTAGTAAATGGTGGATGTAGAATGAGGTAGTCCTTAAATTTATGACTGCTTGATTTCATAGAGGCTAATGATAATAGTAGTAATTAATAGCAGCTATCACTTATAGAACATTTCCTTTTGTGTGGCATTTTCCTAAAGTTTTAATTGGATATTACATTAAAATTTTACAACAATTCCATGAAGCAGGTACAGTCATTGCTCAGTATCCATGGGGGATTGGTTCCAGGACCCCTGTGGATACCCAAATCCACAGATACTCAAGTCCCTTATATAAAATGGCATAATATTTGCATATCCTTCTGTTTACTTTAAATCATCTCTAGATTACTTATAATACCCAATACAATGTAAATGTTATGTAAATAGTTCTTATACTATATTGTTTAGGGAATAATAACAAGAAAAAAAGAGTCTGCATGTATTTATCTTAGATGCAATTATAGTAGGGCTTTCAGTCCACGCTGGTTGACCACATGGATGCAGACCCTGTGCCTGTCGAGGGCCAAGTGTACTCTTATTGTGATTTTCAGTTGATTGGCTGATGCTCAATGAAGTTAAGAATCTTGTGCAAGAAATTTCTAACTGTAATTGCTTACATTAAAAAAGAAGAAAGATTCCAAATAAACAACCTAATTTTACAACTTAAGGAACTAGAAAAGAAGAACAAGCTAAGCCCAAAGCTAGCATAAGGAAGGAAATAATAAAGATTACATTGGAGATAAATAAAGTAGACCATGGAAAAACAAAATCAAAAGTTGATTTTTCAAAAAAGATTAACAAAATTGACAAAGCTTTAACTAGATTGACTAAGAAACAAAGAGAAGATTCAAATCACTAAAATCAGGAATGAAAGTGGAAACATTGTTACGAATTCTACAGAAATAGTAAGAATTTTAAGAGTGCCATGAATAATTGTATGCCAACAAGTTGGATAACTTAGATAAATTGGCAATTTTTAGAAACACAAAACCTACCAAGATGGAATCATAAAGAAATAGAAAATATGAATAGACCTATAATTAGTAAGGAGATTAAATCAGAAAAAGCATTTGACAAAATTCAACATTCTTTCATGATAAAATCATTCAAGCTAGGAATAGAAGGAAACTACCTCAACATGATACAAGCCATGTGTCAAAAACACACAGCTAACATACTCAATGATGAAAGACCTTAAGATTTTCTTCTAATATCAGGAATAAGACAAGGATGCCTGCTTTTGCTATTTAAAATAGTATTGAAAATCCTAGCCAACAATTAGCCAAGAAAGAGAAATAAAAGGCATCCAAATTGGAAAAGAAGAAGTAAAATCATCTCTGTTTGCAGATAATATGATCGTATATGTAGAAAACCCTAAAGATCTCACAAAAAACTGTTAGAACTAATAAAGAAATTCAGCAAAGCTGCAGGAGACTAAATCAATACGTAAAGGTCAGTTGTGTTTCTCTACACGAACAGTGAACAATTCACGACAGAAATTAAGAAAAGTTTATTTACAATAGCATCAAAAAGAATAAAATATCTACGAGTTAATTTAAGGAGATGAAAGCTTATACACTGAAAAAAACTACAAAACACTACTGAAAGCAACTAAAGAAAACATAAATAAATGGAAAAGCATTCTGTGTTCATGAATTGGAAGACTTAATATTGTTAAGATGACAATATGACCCCAAATGATCTACACATTCACTGCAATCCATAGCAAAACCCCAATGACCTTTTTTTGCAGAAATAACAAATCCATCCTAAAATCTATATGGAATTTCAGGAGGCCCCGAATAGTCAAAACAATCTGGAAAAAGAACAAACTGGAGGACTCACACTTCCTGATTTCAAAATTTCCTGCAAAGCCTCAGTAATCAAAAGTGTGTGATACTAGCATAAAGACCAATGTAATAGACAGCCTAGAAATAAACCCTCACATATATGGTCACATGATTTTTGACAAGGCTATGAAGACCATTCAATGGGGAAAGGACAGTCTTTTTCAACAAATGGTATTGAGTAAACAGTATATCCATGCAAAAGAATGAAGGTGAATGCTCACCTAACAGTAAATAAAAAATCAACTCACAATGTATCAAAGGCGTAAATGTGAGAGCTAAAACCATAAAGCTCTTAGAAGAAAACATAGAGTGAAAGCTTCATGACATTCGGCTTGGCAATGATTTCTTGATTAGGAAGCCAAAAGCACAGACAACAAAGACAAAATAGATAAATTGGACTTAAAAATTAAAAACTTTTGTGCTGCAAGGGACA